GACATATATGAAGTTCATTGGTAATATGATTAAGAAATGCTTGAATTCTAACCGTGGGAAAATTATTTCGGTGTATAATGGGACAGATTATGATTTATAAAAAATGAAAAATTAAAAAAATTAAAAAAAAAAAATAACTAAAAACAGTTGTGTTGATTTGTTTGACTCAAGGAATTATTAAAAGATTGGGAATAATAGAAATGAAAAATAAAAATAAAAAATAAAATAAAGAAGACAGTTACGTTGGTTTGTTAAACCAATGAATTAATAAGACAAAGGATTATTAATAAAAATAAAAGTAATAAAATAACAATGAAAAGTGTCTGTTAATTTGTTTGATTAATAGAAAAAGATTAGGATTAATAAAAATGAAAAATAAAAAGAAAAACAATAAGAAAAAAAGGTTTACGTTGGTTTGTTTGACCAATAGGAAGATACATACGTACATATACATATATACATACATACATACACGAAAGATGTCATCCATGTCATCATTTGATCTTATCCCATGATAATAATTAAAAGCTCGGTGTATAATAATTACATCAAGAAACTTACTTGGAAGGATAATTGATACTTTCTCAAATCTCGAATAAGGGATGATTGAAAGATGAATTAAACTAACAATAAGAAAATCATAAATTTTATCATACGTGTATATCGTATATTACGATATTATAATACACGATTATTATTGTATATTATTTTATATATTATAATTAAAAATAATGTATTATTTATGAAAATAATAATATATTGAAGTTATGATGAATGAATTTTAATGCAAATTTCTATCAAAAGTTTCATTTTGATCATATAAATTTGAAAGATGTGTAATCAATGTTTGAAAATGATGATGATAGTGTTGGTGGTTGTTTATATTATAGTATAACATCACGAGAAATGGATGAGAAATTAAATTTATATAATTTAAATAACAATTGAACTATAAACATGAAAAATATCAATTAAAAAATTTATTTTGAGAATATTTTTCATCATGTGTAATTATTAATAAAATTTTTTTTATTAATAAGAAACTTGTTATATTTCAAATGAATTGTTTTTTTAATAATTAAACGTAACATTGTTAAATATTATATTAATAATATATAAATAATATATATATATAACTGTTCGACAAAATAATTTTGTTAATTATAATAATATGCACTAATAATATTATAATTATATATAAAAAATGTATAAAATATATTACAAATATAAAAAATAGAATATAATTTGTGAAATTATATATATTATAATATTAAAATAAATATAATATTATAATTAAAAAATATAATATTGCAACATAATATTTTAATATACTAATAACATAAATTTGAAAATCTTATAATTAAATAAAAAATATGTTACAATACAGTATTATATATATATATATATATAT